GAGCATCAAGAATTTGTTAGAAGATAGGTTCATTGTATTGCGTGGGCAGAATAATGTCAGGTTGCCTAAGGCTACACAGGAGAACGATTAGGGTTCTCAACCAAAGCCTTTGGTTCAAAACCTGACCGCGAGGCAGTGGGATTTCGCACCGGACTAGAGAGAGCCCGTTTTATGGAGTGAGGAGCTGCCCTCACTCCAACCCCTAACCTGGAGGGCCAGGAGACTGGGTTTGTCTGGCCTCTAACCTTTGACCAATCTGGTATGTGTGGCTCTGAAGGCACAAGTAAACACCACTTAGCATAGCTCAATGGATCACTGAGTCACACAAACCATCGCACCACGGTAAGGTCAGGTCTCGTCGCGATATTATTCCACAGTACCATTACATTACCTCACCCACCAAGTACCTTTCTGATAACAAATCATCAAAACTATACCTCGTACCTAGCTAGACATGAGGAACTCATGCTCTACAGGTCATTATTAGGCACCCCGCTAGGGCTAATTGCTCATGTCACCATACTTCTAAGTATGTGTTACGCTGAATATCCGGAGGAACAAATTGAACTGATACGCACCATCACACGATACAACATTCTGGACGATCTAGTTGCGATGACCGACCGGGAATCCTTGAAAAGGGACTCCCTGACATCACCTGGATTCATTTTGCTGTACACCCCAGCAATCTGATTGTAACTGCTTCAGAAACTAAGCGGCTTCCTTCCACCAATCCATTGTCGTTCATCAGAAGTAGAATTCGAAGGCGCATTTCACTAGGAAATGTGGATTAGCACACTTACAGACCCCGTCCTAGTCCCGAAACCAGGGACGACCACGTGATGCAGCGCAACCACTATGATACGCTTGTCCGTGAGGGCAAAGTGGCTCACCAACAAAACTTGGCCTGTAAATTTGCCAAAAACAAAACCTTTATAAGCATGTTAACATCATTCGGAAAGTGAAACACAGTGTCCTTCTACTTGACATGATAGTTGGAGTGACACAGAGTGCTGAAGATGCAGCCAACGCACTACGGATGCAATATGCCCAGACCTTCCAACGAGACGTTCGCCACTGTTACATACCCACAACTATCACTTATTGACACCTCGTTCACTGCCACATCTGGTTTGAAGAAACTCTTCACACTGTGCACATACAGTTCCGGTATCGATGACATTCACCTGAGAGCGCTTTACTTAGTAGCATCAACCTGGCCCAACCAATATCTCATTTTTCCAAACGCGCTTGGATAAACAAATTGGGCTTACCATGTGGAAACACGTCATAATCACGCATATCGTCTAATGTGGCAGTCGATCGGAACCTGCGAACTATTGCCCAGTGATCCTCCTCCTCATACTCGAATGTGAAGCAGCCGATCATCGCTGAGGCTTTAGAAGACCACCTGGAACGATACAACATCATAGCTTGGAGCAGCACGGTTCCCGCCAACATAGCTCATGCACATCCAACCTACTGCTTGCACGCAGTAGTTGGACGGAAGCGGCCGACAAAGGTAGAGGGGCCGACCTCGTTTACCCCGACTTATCCAAAGCATTCGACCTCTTGGACCACGGCTTTCTGCTTCACAAGCTGGAAAGCTACAGAGCTGGGGATCCTGTTCTTGGTGCGGATCAGGAATTTCCGGCGGAATCGGCAACTGCAAGTTAGAATACGCAGTTCGTTTTCCGATACGATTCCTGTCAAATATTGAGTTCCACAAAGATCCGGGCTGGATCAGAGTCTGTTTCTCGGGTTCATTAATGAGCTTATGCGTCTGATTTCCTCGGACTTCAGGCTTTTTGCTGATGACTTTAAGATGTGGCCCGCGATCGCCGACCAATCAAATCACCATGCACTTCAAGGAGACCTGGGCAGAGCGTATGGATGGTCATTCCACACTGTTCCTGTTTAATTCGTTTAAGTGTAAGGTTGCTCACATTCGTCACCGGCCGAGCATCATATACGGGCTCGGAGATCATAACCTGCAAACAGTCACCTAGGAGGACGTCTTTGGGGTATTAATCCGGTCTTATCTTGGCTGCTCATAACTATCACAAAAGGCGTCGAAGACTGGGAACCAACACGTTGGCACCCTGCGGGGGGGATCCGGACGGTTTGATCCATCTGTCTGTGCGCATTTGCCTAACACACGCACGTGCGGCCTCATGTCGAATACGCGATCCAGACCTCACAGTCCTGGCTCAAGCAAGATCTCGCAGCGCTCGAGACTCCACAGCGAAGAGCCACCAAGCACATCAAAGGGTTGTTTCATCTTCATTATTAACTTAGGCTGAGGACTCTAAGATTGTACACTTATCATTATCGTCGCCTACGCGGCGACCTAATAATTCGATTTCGTTCATCGAGATTAGCTCCCAAGCCCCATAGGTAAGGTATCAATCCGGAAAGGCACCAATTCGTGATGGTCGGCTGTCGTCCCCCATGGTTCAGTGGCATAAGCTGCTGGCTAGTTGACTCTGGGTTCGATCCAGAGTAGGGGACCGAAGGAGGCGCACCACTGACGAGCCTCGACAGGGCGAAACGAGCGTCTGGTGCTTTCCCGGATTAATAGATTATCTATGCGCCTTGGAATCTAATAGCGATGAACCAAATCCATTCATACCCAAATCCGTCAACTCATTAGTGACCTAATAATTGCCTACCAAATTTTGAGGAACCCCTATCACGTCTGCCGCCACATACTGCAACGCAGTCACAACACCAATGTGAGGGGTTACCAGTTTAAGGTGGCCACGCAGTATAGTCAACTAGATTGTCAGCATAACTTTTACTGTCTTCGTGTGTGTCAGCCATGGAACGCCTTCCCAAATTACGTTGTTTCCGCCCCCACTTTATGCGTACAAAAGACGCCATGGCGTTGCCCTAACCCACCTACACTACGAGATGTAGTCTGTGTACTTCGACAGGCAATATAATGTGACGAACGCTGCACAAGCTGCACTAACCTACCTAATCGAGCTTGGCTCCTTTCAGCATGCCTCTGTGTGAACACACTGTGGTGAGTCCACCAAAACGATTTTAATTTTGTTACTCTGTTGTGGTTCTCATTCTGGCCATCTTACCGAACTTGTGAAACATTTGCTTTTTCCCCGTAATACACACTTGTTATATTGAACCGAGTGCATTTTCCGTACTCGGAAACATAAGTGTGATCGCAGCTCCGAAGTCAGGAGAATCTGACACGTAGTTTAAATAATCCATTTGGCAGGTTGTGTGCTATCGTTGTTCTGGGAAACCATGCCGTGACTTAGCTGTCAGTTCCAGCTTCTAAACCAGTTTATGGAATAAGCTAGCGCATATAGGAGTGTGATGAGTTGGTAATCATCATGTATCTGGTTTGGACCACTGCTTTGACGAGAAATGATAATTGATGCTTTCCATTGGTGCTTTGATTCTAGCGACAGGGTAAGCAGTGATACGTCATGCCCTCCTGCTTTTGTGACAGATGAGAGATGCCATCGATATCCAGATTGGAGGTTGGTTTAGTGCAATTCATTGCCTGGTCGATATTACAGAGAGAAATATTGTTTTTCCCTTGCATTTTACCCATATTCGTGCTTTTTATGGAGTCAATGCGAGCTCATTTTGGTGGGGTAGAACGAGCTAAATACTTTATATATGTCGCCTGAACCGTGTAGTGAGTGCTTGCTCTCGTCGACCACTTCAGTGCTGAAGGGAGAGCGGTGGTTTGTTCTGCTACGCATAATTTTGACAAGCCCTCTTGCTTCAAAAGTCACTCATAAGATTTCAATGTTCCATGCAGGCTCTGACCTTCCGACAAGAGAGCCGGGTGCATCGGTAGGGCTGGAAGGGTATGCACTGTATGAGCGAACGCTGTGTGATCGGAATCTAGCTCCGTCATATATTGGAATACAGTTCGTTTAAACCGAGGGAATCATTTCATTTTCTACATTCTAGTAGGACGATATAAATCTTGGCGCTGGAAACCAATGCCAATGTTATAACAATTGTCACGAGTACCCCTTGAAACACCAGGTCCCAATGAATATTAACCCCAAAATGCATCCTATCGAAGTTCTGATTCTGAAGGGTGGCGCTTGCATTCACGTCAACAATAAGTATCACAATCTCCGCATTATTGACAATGTTTGTCGGATTCCAGTGTCCGAGGTGGTGTGTCCTTGTTGGTTCCGAAACTTCTGCTTTTATTGTTGTCTACTGACACAAAAATTGTACCCTTTCTCCAGACGCTTCGCGCTAACTCTGGAGGACTTTCAAGACCTAATTCCACATATACGTTTATTCTTTGAGATTCGTCCGAGTAGATTGTCCTCATCACCATTTATTCGGCGTCACGAGACACTCGAGGTTTAGGGTACTTTTACTAAAGCAACGTCGTCCTATGTTCATTACACTTCACTGTTTTGTAGATCAATTTCAAGGTCATCCGGCATCGAACGTTCAACTCATACAGAGTCTGATGATCACTTATTATTTTCATCAATCTCCACAGAGCTCAGAGACTCCGATATATTCTCAATGTCCAGACGGAACAGCGGTTTGGATGTGTTTCGCCCGTTCTTTGGAGGTCAGCGAGCGATCTGAACTCCATGCTACGAAAGTTCCATTTTAACAATTGAGTACCTGCTCTTTTTGACTATGTCGTTAATAAAAAATAACCTAGGCGAGGCTTTCTACTTTGCAAGGATTTCACTTATGACCTGCAACCAAACTGTGCAATCTCCTCATCCACAAGCTGCCGCATTTTCACCAATCTCTCAAAGTGCATATATATATATATATATATATATATATATATATATATATATATATATATATATATATATATATATATATATATATGGAGTCGATCGTACTTGATAGGCTCCAACAACGCCATTGCAGTTGAACCGTCATCCAGGCTGACCGGGTACTATTATGCATTTGCCGTTGATGGACTCGGTTTATTTCATCTTCATTTACTGCTGTTTTTTCTATCCACACTGTAGGCTGTGCGGAAGGACGGGAGAGTGTGTTGTGTGTGGAAGGAGAATTCTGGCCTTTGAATTCGTGATGAAAATACGCGAAGATTTCTATCATTTAAACTGCTTCTGTTGCCAAAGCTGCCAGATGAGGTGCGTCAGGATTGTCTTTGTGTTTTGTCCTGCAATCTCTCCGTTCTTCGCCATCGATTGGTTTCCGCTTTGGTCACTAATTTTAAGCTTTCACAGTAGGCAACTTAGATGTTTGAAGTTGATCTTGCGTTTCCTCACAAATGAGCAGTTGACCAGACTCTACCAAACGTTTATGATAGCGCTGGACAACATACATTGTTGAAATAAGTACATCACTTTCTAGGGTGCATTTTGGATGCCAATTCCAAATTTGAGCTCCATTTTTTGCTATTAGCTGTCTTTTAATATACAGTCTAACCCTTTTATTTACGACTTATGGGCAGGTCGCCAAAGCTAATTTATAAAACTAGCATGCAATATAACAGTATTTATAACATCAATAACATTTGTGACATATATATGTATATATATAAACTTTGAACTACTTGCATAAGCAACATAAACGTAGTAGATTGGTAACGAATTTAAACGCGTAAACATAACGAAATTGGCCTTCTTTGTTACGTGTGACGTTTCTTTTTTGGACTTAACATATACCCCCGTTGCAGGTTCCAGCGATACTCTGTCATCGTGTGCGAGTCACATCTTCCCTGGTATCTTTCTCTCATTATTTCAATGTATTGGTGACATCTGTTACCTTGTTTCTCTCTTATGTTTCACACATTTTTCGGAAAGCGTTCCAGTTGGCTATACGAGTGACGGGTCTTGGTGCTCACAGTACAACCAATTTTATGAACGTCTTCAACTACATTCGCATAGTTGTCTGCTTTGTGACCTTCAAGAAAGGTTTTTAGCACTTGAGTAAATATGGACTAAGTGATGAACTCCATCTCTCATACAATCCAGAAATGTGGAGTGCTGAATAAGCTGCCTTAGTTGAGGACCATCAAGGCTTCCTGCTTTCAATTTTTCAATGTTTAGTCTAAGAAACTTGCATGCAATGTAATCAAAACGTAAAGCTTTATTGTTCAAAGCGTTCCTAAATTGTTACATCATACCTAACTTGATGTGTAATGGTGATAAAATTGATTTTTTCACCGGCGACTAATGGTGCTTGGACAATGTTATGTTCGGCTATAGAAATGAAGACTGGTCGCTCAAGTTGTTCAGATAGCATTTGAACTGTTCGCTGAGCTTGGCAATTTGGTTGCAAATGTTTCCTCATCAATCGAGGTGACATCATCAGTGCGTTGCTGAGTAGCCAGTAGCGTAGCCTAGGGAAGCCTCGGTGAGAGTGCATTGGGTGTAGTGCTTGTGCACTTTTATATCTTCCTGTGTTTGATCGCGGCGATGAGCAATCCTATTGGCTAGGACCTCTTCCCGTGTTCAGCTTGTTGGACAGGTAGTTGACCATTGGCCTTGACCTCTCTGGCTTGTGCATTGTGACATGAGCCTGGTTACTGCAGTGCTTAATTATCTCGTCCGCCGCGTTTGTCTGGTGTTCTGATCCACCGGATTTAATTGATTCGTATTTCCCCCTGGTATTCCGTTTCATCTTGGATCAGTTAGGCTGGGTGCCACACATGGTTTACTGATGTCAGTCCTGCATGATTTTGAATTATCGTAGGCCATGCGTCTAACGTACCCTATAGTTCGACCTCACTACTGGTTGTCATTAGAGTGCATGACCACGAGATGCGCGTTCTAATCATCTCTGTGCTGCGAGTTTGACAATATACTGATGCTCCTTAGATGAGCATAGGTCTGGGGACTGATGCTACATGTGCTGTGTTCCGTCGCTGCATTTGAATCGTAATTGTAAGGCTGCACGAGACTGGGACTTTAATGTGCACGACCTTTAACTAGCGGCGACCGATAGCATGCACTTCAAAGCTTGTTTACAAGAGGTAATTTGCAGCTATCCTCTGCACAACCACGTGACCTCTCCCACCAGATTTCAAACTGCTAACAAGCCCTCGATACTTGATCTAGTGCTCACCAACGAAGAACTCATGGTCGACAAAATAATAACAAGCATACCACTGGGTAGCAGCGACCATGCGATTCTACTTTATAACTATATATGTTATGCGGAATATCCTGAGGAAGAGGATGATGAAGTGTAAATGATCACGCACTACAACGTTTTATCCACGCTTATTAAGGAGGTATCTTGGACCTGATTAATTGAATGCCACCCCGAAATCGTCTGGGACACTTTCACAAGGATATTTAGCACACTGGTAATACAGGTGTCTGAGCAGAAATCCCTCCATCATAAAAGGAGAAGGAAGTCATTTCTGAGGAGCAGAACACGCAAATGCATGTTCTTGAGAAAGTTAGCATGGTGAGCTCCCAAGGACTCCTGAATTCCGAAACCTGGACTGCCTATGTGGCACAGCGTAACTTCTGTGTGAGTTTGACCCACGATGACAAGGTAACGCATCAGCAGGAGTTAATGAAGTGATTCTGCACGAACCGCAAACTCTTATACAGGCATGTTAACGGGCTTCGTAACGTGCAACGCGGAATCCAAGCACTGTTCACGACCGATGGGTGCACACGGCCAGAAACGGAAGCAGCCGATCTCTTACGGTTCCATTCCTCACAAACGTTCCAGGGAGTAACGGGCCAAACGATTATCCCTGTTTCTATTGTCCCACCATCATTTTTATCCAATATTACTTTTACTGCAAAGTGTGTCAAAGAAACTGTTGTCCCTGCGTATCCATAGCTCCCCCGGGATCGATAACATTCGACTGAAGACTTTACAGGCAGCAGCCGGTGATCTGGTAGAACCTCTGGCTATATTCTATCGGCGCTGTATGGAGGAGAATCATGTTCAAACAATATGGAAGCGAGGGGTCATCACACCTATTCATAAGGAAGGTAGTCGCACCGACTCAATCAATTACCATACAATAACGCTATCCACTGTGCTTTCCAAGATTATGGAGTCTATAATCGCTGATGCACTCATGCAGTATCTGGAAAATCACATGATAGCACCAGAGCAACCTGGCTTCCGACAAAAACGCTCATGCACTACGAACCTGCTAATTGCACACCATAGCTGGACTGAAGCAGTTGATGGTGGAGCAGGAGTGGATGTGATTTACCTGGACTTCTTAAAAGCGTTTGATCAATTAGACCACCGAATTCTCCTCCATAAACTTCAACTCAACGGCATTGGTGACCCACTGCTGCGTTGGATAAGTAATTCCCTGCACGAAGCTCGGTTGGAGGTGAGAGTACATGAATTCCTTTTCCGACGCAAGTAAGCTGAAGTGCTCCTGCTCAGGTCTCGGCTATTTCTACTTTTCATGAATCATCTGACGAGGGAAATTACTTTTGATTTCCTATTCTTCGCAGATGATATCAACTTATGGGGACCGATCAGAGAACCGAGCGACCACGAAAAGCTCCGGCGTGACCACATCACGATTTCAAACTGGTCTGTTCAGAATATACTACCGTTCAATGTGGAAAAATGTCACGCTGTTCAATTACGCCATAGGCAAGACTAGGTGTGTAAGATTGGGTCACATGTATTGAAGACAACTTCCAAAGAACGCAATCTTGGTGTGATCATTCAGCCTGACCTTAATTGTTCAAAGCAGTCAGAGGCAGCTGCGAAGAGAGCCAACAAACATGTCAGGTTGCTGCAGAGGGCATTCAGAAGTTTCGGCCCATCCAGCTTCCCCATGATGCCGAATTCTTACGTGCGCCCTCACGTTGAATACACCATCCAAACCTGACAACCTTCGTTGAAGCCCGACTTAGAAGTGCTAGAGAAACCACAACGCAGGGCCACAAAATACCTCAAGGGCCTACGAAATCTGTCCCACCATCAAAGGCTGAAGTCACTGGAAGTTTTCAGTGGCTACCACCATAGGCCAAGTATTGAGTGACCCTAATCACGTATGTCATCACTTACTGAAACTCAGCCATAACACCAATCTCAGATGTAATCCTCTGCAATCGACTGAACATTATTGTCGCCTGGAATACCTGCGGACTTATTTTTCTCTTGGGGTTTGCCAACCCTGGAACTCTCCCAAACTTCGCTGTTTCTTCCCTCACCCTGCATCTTTTCAAAAACGGTTGGATTTTGCCATTGGCTCCCAACACTTTGTTGCCTAAACTGTACAACTTTGGAATGTATTAATTATCCCTTCAAACCATATTAATATGTCACAGAAAATTGCGGAGGCGTTACAGGAGTGAGTACTTTCATTTTTACTTTTCTCACTGAGTACAACAATTATGACTGTCCCCATGCTCCCTCGTCGTTCGCATTCAACTCCCACGTATACTACTATTGTTCAACGGCGTATCTGCAAGTTAAACGCTCAAACAGACAACTCACATCTTTCGATGTTGTAGTTTTACCCCCACCATTCTGCGGGACTTATCACCAACTGCTTTTTTACCCGGAATAAATCATTGTTCATTGTACGACTTTTGACGGTACCAGGTATCACTTTGACTTTCCTTCATCCAGACATGGGTGGTCTATGTGTTGAATGTATGTGGACCGGTTCTGTGGCCGTCGTGCGCCCTATGCACATGATTCCTGGTCTCATATGATCTGGTTCCCATTGCTTATGCGGTGTATGCATGTGATGTGGTACAAGCTATGAACTACCACCACCCATAGGGCGCAGGGCTACTGCTTCGATTCTCGGTCTCCGTGACAGATAACTTCCGAAACTGATGTCATAAACTACGGTCAGCAGACATTAGTGGTTACTCGGGTAGAGTAGCCACACTCTTTTATCTGCTCAATTTCCCACAATTAACTTTACATATATATATATATATATATATATATATATATACATATATATATATATATGTGTGTGTGTGTGTGTGTGCACAATCTGATTACGGACAATGTGCCATGATAACCATGAGGAAAGGGGAAACGAAATACCACATGAGAGGTGAATGATTTCTTTGGGTATTACACACGCCGTTTTGAGTTTTTATTTTCGGTTATAATCCACTCACGCGAGCAATCCGACGCAAAGAACGATTGTCTCCTATAAACAACCGGCAATGATTGAAGGTACCGTGAGCTAGAAATGGAGGCTGCCGACGGCCAAACAAAGATCTGATGTTGGAGTGTACCGTATTGTGCAACCTCAATCACGTATGCCACCATTTACTGAAGTACGGACACAATACCAAGACTCTGATGTAATCACCTAGAGCTGAGTGAGCAACCGACCCAATTAGAATGCCAAACCAATGAGTTTTCTGTTCAGATTTGCCAACCCCAGAACCTTCTCCCCAACTCTGTGATTTCCTCCCTACTTCGACTGCCTTCAGAAAGCTGTCATCGACTACTTTCGGGTCATAACACTTTGTTACATAAACCGTACCCATGTGGAATATATTAACGAATAAGCTTTTACATGGATACAAGGAAAGCAGCCTCCGAGTAGTCGTTTTATTTTTCTCACAAAAGTTGTTAACTCCTACTGCTACCCACCGCCTTGTACAATTTTTATTTCCTACCATCGTCATGCAGCAGTGTATTTGAAACGGCAGACACTCAAACTGAAGGCACGTGTATCTCGATTGTACTTTTCACAGCAATCGTGTCACGGACTTGTTAAGCACCTGCTTTACCACTTGTGTAGAGTCGTTCCTTTTTCATCGCTGTCTTAAGTTGCTGTTTTTCAATAACAATGATAGTCATAATAACGTTTATTCTGGAATATTTAGAGACCCACCACTGCAGGCATGATCAAAACGGCAATGACTCTGTACCAATCGATGTCGTGATTGCAATCCAACTCTTTATGGAATCACTATAACTTCTAAGCAGTAGTGAGACGTGGTTAGGATCAGAGGCACCATCAGCAGACGTCTGTTGAGCAGCTATTTTTTGTGAACCGCGATACCATATTTCACTGTCATTGCATCGTTCCTTTTAGATTTTGCGTAGGAGACAGATTTTACATCCACCAGAAGACGATTCTCTGCGAGAAGGATTACGCGGACTCGTCGCTGTTTTCCTTTGCTTCTCTGCCACTGTACAACTCGGCGGATGCCTTAGTTCCCAGGCGGCGCGCGCAAGTGCATTCCGACTCAGACGGCGATTTTCCCACATTTATTTCGTATACCCCGGATGCTAGCAACGGCAATACCAGTAAACTGTTCGACAATCAATTGGACAACATGGTGATGATACCGCGCCCATCGGGTACCATGAGAACCCACCCTAACACCCACTCTAACCTCAACGCTTCCGATGCAACACTAATCCGGCCCTCTTGTCCCAATACAGTGAAGTGCCCCCAGGATTCCGTTCTATGCTGCAGATCGGACGATCAGTCGAGTGGATATGGTTCCCCCACTCCTCCAAGTGTCGACTTATGAAACACACACACACAGTGTGCACCGCCGCATGAAATCAACGGTAATAAGACGGAAGTCTGTTGCATCTAAGTGCCATTATACGGCAGAATGGTAATTTTACTCCACAACCTTGTGTAGTGGAGAACCGAACACTTCACATTCACTTGTAGCCTGATTTTGTCAGATTTTATGAGAAGCTTTTTGGGGTGCAATCCGAACTTTGCTCTTTGGTCTGCTTTAACTAAGTAACCATCCCCGCCTTCTCATTCATTTCTTCAAGATCCCTTTACTCTTTGATAGCGATAACAGGATACAAGGTTGTGTTGCAGACTGGATCAATAGTTAAGGTGATTCGTTTGTTGCCACAATCACGTTTTTGAATCAACGATTTTTGAACACGTGTTGCTTCCAGTTCCACTGCACCCACTCATCTTCCGTCTAACGTATGTTCCAATTTAGTTCATTTTACCAACTGACCATCGGCAATCTCGACGTCAAACAACAACCCTTTCGCATTATTCGAAACTTTTTGTGACCTGTCTTTTTGCTCTATGCACAATTGGTTCATTGGACTCGTTTGTCATCTTACGGTGAATCATGATTCGTAGCGATTGATCACGTTCTACTTTATCTGTCATGACCGCGCTGCTTTCCCTAGCATCTTTGAAGCAAGCTTAGTTTTGGTATCTGTACCAAATTTACGCTAACAAAGACCACCTGAAACATCCGTCCCCATAAATTCTGCTTGTCGCGCACGCTGTTAGAGCGAACTGCTATCATGAGCAATGTGACCTCCCGTTTTGGGTGATGACTTGATGCAAACGTAGTGTGGCTCCTGCTTGCACTTTTCCTGGTCATTGTCATACTTAGTTTGTCACTTCTACATATTTTTGCATGAAGCCTTCTACAAATAGGATGATCTCCAAATATCTGCATACAAATAACTTCGTTCCACGATTTCCACAAGCTTATTTCGATTAATGTCACGCTGCGCTAGTTTGCTGTTCATTTACAAATTTAGAGCGCTCGCAAGCTCCCTCTTAACTTAGAGAGCATTTTTAATTTGGAAATTATTGTGAATAGCTATAGCTCATGATGTGGATAAGAGGACTGTTGTGTTCTCTGAGCAAGGCAATTTGGTTGCAGACGTTTTCTTGTCAAACTAGGCAACATCCTCAGTGCGGCTATAGAGGTCTGATTTTCAGTCTCATAAGCCATTACCAAATCCAGATGACTATTGATCGTCTCCTGCTTTGAATGTATCTTCGCTTGGATCACATGGGTCGACAAAGTGGCCACGTCTACGCCCTGTCGATCTGATACTTATTCTTGACCTCACCTGCAGAGCTTCGTAGACCCCTTCGAGTTCTAGATGCTTGTTGCTTGAGTTCTGGCCCGAATGCCATGCCTCGAGAAACTCACGCGCCCTGCGGTTCTTTGTTCTTCAAAGTATCTTGACTTTCTCCAACTCGAACTGACGGTCCTTAACATCCATATGTACTGACATCAGCAATTTTTCATCATGGCGGCGGACAGCCAGACTATGTTCATGCAGCCTTGTGCCAACTTTCCTCTCTGTCTGACCCACGTAGTACTTGTCACAATTTTTGCAGAAAATTTTGTAAACCACACCTGATGTTTTTTCTTTACTCAGTTGGTCTTTAGTCCTGAAAAGTTTATTCCGAATAGTTTCCGTTGCTTCATGTGCAACGTTGATCCCGTGAGCCATTAAAAGCCTCGCTGCCATCTCAGAAATCCAATGGATGTAGGGTAGAACGAATGTTTTCCTTTCCGTGGCACTTACGGAAGCGGGCGGTGGTTGATTTTTCTACTTCAGGCAGCGTAGAATAAAACTTTTAGGATACGAATTCTGCTGGAACAGGTTAAATAAGTAGTCTTCCTCCGCCTTCCTCAGCTGCAGCGTGTTGCAATGTGTGTCCTCACGCAACCGCGCTTGTAATTGGCCGGATGGTTACTGCGATAATTTAAGATCTGATGAGTGCGCGTCGCTTTTCGATAAACTGTTGTTTCCAAGGGCCCAGGAGAATGTCTTTTCACGAGCACGTCCAAGAATGGCAGCTGGTGATTGTTCTCCTCCTCTTTGTTGAAAAGCATGCCGGGGAAAATGTTATTGATCAGATGGTGTGTTGCTTGTAGTTTGAAACGGTTGAGGATGACAAAAGTATCGTCCACGTAACGTACCCAAAGTTTGGGCTCCACCATCGGCAGTGCCTTTTGTTCCAGTGCTTGCATCACTGCCTCGGCCACCAGTCCAGAGATTGGTGAACCCATTGGCGTGCCCATTATCTGTTTGTACGTTTGACCATTGAAAGTGAAGTGTGTGGTGCGATAGAAAACAAGCAACTCCATCATTTGGGTGATTCCAATTCTGTTGTTCGAACTTACCGCCCCGCGTTGTTCAAGTAGGGATACCATTGTTTGCCTTGCCAACTTCGTGTCGATCGATGTGAACAAAGCTGTAACATCAAAGGGTACCATCATCTCGTCTCTTTATTGTTATTCGCTTGAGTTTTCCAAGAAATTGCTCTGCCGAGTTGATTGAATGCTCTGAGTTTGCGAGTAGGTATTTCAGCCGTTTCCAGAGTTCCTTAGACAGTTTATAATTCGGTGCGCCTGGTGATGACACGATAAGGCGAAGCGGCACTTCATCTTTGTGTACTATGGGTAGACCGTAGAACTATGGTATCACTGAATCTCATTTGTTGCAATCGCTGAAGAGCTCGTTTGATCTGACTTTCCAGACGTTTCGCAGGGTTTTCACTTATCTGCTGGTAAGTGTTTGCATCTTCGAGCAGTTCTGGTGCCTTCTTCCTGTAGTCAGTTTTGTCCATTATCACAGTAAGACGTCCCTTGGCCGGTAAGATAAAAATAGCGCTATCTCCTCGGAGGCTTGTCAGTGTCTTTTGTTCGTTTACGTTGAATAGGTTGGTTTCCCGTTTGTGACTCAGTGTGGGGGATGATGCTGTGTATAAGTATATGTTGGGCTTCCGCCGCGATGTAGCATGTGGCCAGCATCAACTCAAGTGCGATAGTGAAGTTGATGGAATTGGAATCTTTGCAACTGAATTGCAGACCTTGCACAATGACTTCTCTTTCTGTTTTTGATAGGGTTGGTTTGAATAGATTCTTAATCCAGACATCTACTTCACTTACTGGTTTGTGTTGCGAGGTTCTGTCCTGCTTCCTCTTTAGCTTTTCCTTTGTTTCAAGCTTCGTCTTGTGAGTTCTAAAAGCCATCGCTTTCTCAAGCTCTCTGGTTAACTGTTCTCCAATGTTGGATAAACATATCTCCTTTTGTTGGTCGACAAAAAAGATGGGTTACTATTCGCCCGATGGTGTCATCACCAGGGGCACCGAATTATAAACTATCTAAAGAACTCTGGAAACGGCTGAAATACCTACTCGCAAACTCAGAGCATTCAATCAACACGGCAGAGCAATTTCTTGGAAAACTCAAGCGAATAACAATAAAGAGACAAGATGATGGTACCCTTTGATGTTACAGCTTTGTTCACATCGATCGACACGAAGTTGGCAAGGCAAACAATGGTATCCCTACTTGAACAACGCGGGGCGGTAAGTTCGAACAACAGAATTGGAGCCACCCAAATGATGGAGTTGCTTGTTTTCTATCGCACCACACACTTCACTTTCAATGGTCAAACGTACAAACAGATAATGGGCACGCCAATGGGTTCACCAATCTATGGACTGGTGGCCGAGACAGTGATGCAAATACTGGAACAAAAGGCACTGTCGATGGTGGAGCCAAAACTTTGGGTACGTTACGTGGACGATACTTTTGTCATCCTCAACCGTTCCAAACTACAAGCAACACACCATCTGATCAATAACATTTTCCCCGGCATGCTTTTCAACAAAGAGGAGGAGAACAACCACCAGCTGCCATTCTTAGACTTGCTCGTGGAAAGACATTCTCCTGGGACCTTGGAAACAACAGTTTATCGAAAAGCAACGCGCACTCATCAGATCTCAAACTATCGCAGTAACCATCCGGCCAATTACAAGCGCGGTTGCGTGAGGACACACACTGTAACATGCTGCAGCTGAGGAAGGCGGAGGAAGACTACCTATTTAACCTGTTCCAGCGGAATTCGTACTCTAAAAGTTTTATTCTACGCTGCCTGAAGTGCCACGGAAAGGAAAACATTCGTTCTACTCTACATCCATTGGATTTCTGAGATGGTAGCGAGGCTTTTAATGGCTCACGGGATCAACGTTGCATATGAAGCAACGGAAACTATTCGGAATAAACTTTTCAGGGCAGAAGACCAACGGAGTAGAGAAGAAACACCAGGTGTGGTTTACAAAATTTTCTGCAAAAATTGTGACAAGTACTACGTGGGCCAGACAGGGAGGAAAGTTGGCACAAGGCTGCATGAACACAGTCTGGCCATCCGCCGCCATGATGAGAAATCCCTAATGTCAGTACATATGGATGCCGAAGGTCATCAGTTCGATCTGCGGAATGCCAAGATACTTGGAAGGACAAGGAACAGCAGAGCGCGTGAGTTGCTCGAGGCTTGGCATTCGGGCCAGAACTCAAGCAACAAGCATCTAGAACTCGAAGGGGTCTACGAAGCTCTGCAGGTGAGGTCAAGAATAAGTATCAGATCGACAGGGCGTAGACGTGGCCACTTTGTCGACCCATGTGATCCAAGCGAAGATACATTCAAAGCAGGAGACGATCAATAGTCATCTGGATTTGGTAATGGCTTATGAGACTGAAAATCAGACCTCTATAGCCGCACTGAGGATGTTGCCTAGTTTGACTAGAAAACGTCTGCAACCAAATTTCCTAACTCGGAGGATTTTTTATCTATAACAATTTTTTATTTAGTATGAACACAGCCATTTAGTTGGAAAAGGCGCGTTATACCTCATAATTATGAAACGCCGGCACGTTACTGATTGCTCCTTTCCTGATTTTGGCTCCTTGATAATTACTTTTGTGTTACTATTGATTAGGTGGATTTTACTGTTTTAATGTCTGTGTCGCGTTAACTCACATGCTACATAGCACGTTCTTGTCTGGAAAAGCACGGGACACGTTTCGCCCTATTGGGGCTCGTCAGTGG